ACGACTAAGACTGTTTAAAAGTGGGAGTATAGCAGCAGAAATGCAATTAATATAGTAGCTTCCGTGTCAGATTCCATTGTAGATAGCAAGGCTACGCTGCGTGAGAAAAATGCATACGCATCAAATCAGCACATGCTTCGTATCAGCTTTGACGAATCAAGAAATACCGGATACCGGCGCACATATTGGAGTGCGTATAACAGTCGGCATAAGACAATCTGGACAAGCCACAATTTCATGCGTGCGTGAACGCTAAATTACACATTAGATTTCTTACCTCAGCAAAGTTCATCTTTAGTGTAACTATGATAGCACCCCAGGACATCAGGCAGGCGTGATACGCCTTCTGCACCTCTGCCGGGTCAATAGTGCGCAGAACCAACAGCATCTTTCTAGACGTCTTCTCCTTGGCCGTGATCTGTTCCACATCGGCGATCCCGTCTCCATCAGCATCGATCGTATTGTCCTAGTGGCATACGTGTGTATGGGAGAGTGAGAAAGGTATGTTATACGTGCACGTTACACACGGCAGAAAGTACTCTAGCCATCTGCTCGCACCACATACCGCTAGTATGTATGAGTATATGCGTATACTCTCATGAGTATACTTAGGCGCACATGCGTTAAAATATGAAGGCAAAATAAGGGCCAAAAGATATAGCTAAAAAATGAAAGCAAAATATGGCTCGAAAGATATAGCTCGTGCAACAAACCTTCTGATTTGCAACCTGGATGGCCTTCCAGTTCTTGTGAAATACAATCAGGGCCTCTTTGACATCCTGGTATCCAATCATACGGAACGCCTCAACTGCAGAGACGGTGAGCATAAAATGGCCACCGTAGAACACAAGCACCAGCCCAATGATTGCCGGCAGCAATTCCTATGAAGTGCATTGATAAGGATTGGCACATTGGATTGAGCTGAGAAATGTTCGCAGTTTAATCACCACTTTTGCATTCTGATTCTTGACCGCGTTGATTGCTGGTTATGCAACAAGTTTGTGTTGTATGCAAATGATCTATCAACCCTACTCGTTCTCTATTGATGTCGCACAGTGGAGAGCCTCACTCGATTGGTTCGCCGAACGAAATAGCACTGGACACGTGTGTTCACACGGATACCCACGTGCTACAGAAACTACACGATGCCGTGGAATGGAAATATATCGTATTCTCATCCTTCATAGTAATTGCGCATTTTGAGTAGGTGAAACCATATAAGCATATAGCTCTAAATATCATAACAGTCCACTTTACTGGAGTATACCTCCGTCGTTAATTGTAATCGATCGATGTACGTGCCAGTATCTTGTTATGAAGCAATACTAGGATGCGTGCATGTGTGCTCGCATTGCACATTGATGGGAGTACTGCTGCAATAACTATGAACTTTCAGCTGAAAAGTGGTTATATCACCCTAGGCATCTGATCAGAGCATAGTGAATTACAAAAACGTACACAGCAAATTAGCACATACATGCCTAGCACAATACATATCAGACCAACATGGGACCAACACTCGAATAAGTCAGTTGTGCGTGTCATTTACCACTGCCTAGCGCTCTAGGCATGCACGCACTCACACAACCGAACTAAACATGGAATCTCGAGCAGTTGCTGATGGCGATTCGAAACTTCCGGCTATATACACGTTCATGCACATAAAATTCATTCGGATCATATGGACGCCCTATCTCAAAACGAAAAGTTTCACAAAATCTATTTGGGCAAAGTGTAAGCATACACAGAATCCCCTGAAATGCGAGCACATGCCCTGACTTGAATTTGAACACTGTGAGACTAGAAATAATACATAACCTTTGGATGTAAGGGTTCTTTTTGTCTTGAATGGCACCTACACATAGCTCAATTATTACCTGACCCGGCGCCACAAATACACATTGGTTGTACGAAGACACCCTAGGGTATATATAGACGCCAGTAGTTGAATTCAGACATCCGATATATATTAGTATGACAAGTTCCAACAGTAAACTATTCAAATATTGTACATCAATTTAAAACTTTTTAACAGCAGTAGCAAGCTCACATTTCAAGAACCACGCCCTGGACACTCAGATGCAGTGGACATACCTCGGTGTTAGATAATTGGACACTTCTCCCCACCCCAGTACACTTTCTATCCCAGGTGTCCATGTATTAAACATACACAACTAAATTAGTTTGACGATCCACAACAGCAGTCTGTGACGGAATACTCAATTGCAATGCACATACCGTGGGGTTGTATGGTTCGATGATAGGGTACTTTTCCTCACACCACTGCACTCCTTTCTCCAGTACTGGGCCGACATTGTTGACAATCTTCTTGGCCACTTCAACTACAGGCTTGATGATCTTAGCTGCCTTTTCCAAGGCCTCGCCAACCTTGGCACCGGCATTAGCATCTACCTCAGGCAGGTCATTGATATTCTACAACCAATAATGAGCAGAAATAAGAAAATATAATACTGTGAGCAAAGTAGAACCACAAAGTCATTGGTACATTTTCTATAGTGAGTGTAGACGATTCGCTAGATAGGTAATGTGAACATATTCTACAATGAACAGAAGGGCCATGGATAGGACATAAGAACGCGGACAGCACCACAAGCAATCCAATAATAGTTCCTTGATTGATTTTTCTACTGCAGGTGTACGGCCTTGTAATATGCTGTATCGCTGCTACACAGATGCCATATGCACAATGCAAAAGCCAAATCAAATACTGTACGCTTTCCAAATTATTAATGATGTTTTTCCTCGCAAGGCTGCTATTATTGAGCAGTCAGCACTAGCAATAGATTGAAGTCAAGCGATGTGTCCCACTACCAAGAAGCATGCAAGTAAGGTCCATGTTTGTGAGTACTCATCCTGACGAACACAGTTAACTTACACTTTGCATCAAATGAAGGCACGCCCTCCTGGGTTGTGGCCCGACATTGCTATGGAACAGATACCGAGAAACAAAAACTGTGATCGCAATATCAACTACAATAGTAGCAGTAACGACAATTGAAGACGTAAATACAATTGTAATTGGAAGTACAATATTAAATATTAGCCACAATTAGCAGTTAATACAATTGTAAACTAAACTATCATACTGAATTTGACTGCCTTTGTAACATTAGGTTCAAATGAGAAGTAAATACAATTGTAATTCAAAGTACAATACTAAATATTAACCACATCTAGAAGTAAATGCAATTGTAAACTTAACTACAACACTGAATTTAACTGCCTCTGTAACAACAGGTGCAATTAAGAAGTAAATAAAAATGTAAAGCTGACTATGATACTAAATTTTAATCGCAACTGTAACAAAAGGTGCAATTGCATTATTGCTTACCGTAGTGTTTAATTGCAAAAACGGTTGCACTGATCACAGTTTAGCTCTAGACGAATATGAAATCGGTCAAACACGAAATCCTTGTACGGGGTACTTCTATGTAGCTTAACAAGGGTAGCCCTACAATTCTATTTGTATAAACAATACGATATAAATCTCAGTCACAGAGTCACAGACGTTCTGGCATCAATCAAGATTCAGACCATCATTCTACAGTATACGTTTGCGGTTGTGTGCGAGATAACTCAAAAGCATAATACATATTCATAACATAATACGCACCTGCAATTTGGTAACCATACTGTCCCACTCTATAGTATATACTATATACTAAAAATGTACTTGTGCGATGTGTTTGCTTGTGCATGGAACCTTACAATACGAAGTGGTGTCGAGTGTTGCGTGGGATAGCCATAGTCATCAAAAGCAAACAACTGCACACATTTTGTTTTACACGACACATTCAGATATTCTGAAGCCTGAAGGTCATCAAAAAAAAAAAGAGGGCTCGGAAATACAAAATCAACACAACATAAATAGACCCCCAGGGAGTGGCTGAGAGAGATGAACCACAGAAGCCCATCAGCCTATGAGCACAGCCATCGCAGAATAACACGTCAGGTGTTTGAAATGTGTTCATCAGTATTTGTTTTTATATTTTTTAGAGAACAATAATCAAACGGAGTTGATACATAAGCACTAACCAAGAAGAGACAGAACAACTATCCATAATTTATAAGAATATTCTTTAAAAATACGTATTCAGCCAACAAGAGTCAATACTCATCAATACAGTCAGGTGGGAACTTTGAAGGTTGTAGTGACTAGTGTCTGAAATAAATAAATACATGAACCAAACAGAGTATGTTCGTCGGAAACTATATATTTACCTCAGCCTGTCAGGTCCGTAAGTGATGTCAGTTTCACATCGTTCAGCAAGTCATTGATTCTTATTTCTTAAAATAGTACATGTCCGATATGTCGTAAACTATAAACGACCTTTGTATCCGAATCTAATAAACAACCGTGCCAGAAACCAGGACAGCTGGATTATGGATAAATATCTTGTGATTTTGAATTATTTCTTTTCACATATTGTTTTTCTATTAAAAAAAACCCCAATAAAATATAATAAAGATATTTACATATTTTTAGAGTGGAGTGGAGTCTGGAGTCTGGAGACTTGTGGCAGTTGTGGAGTGTGGGCTGACTGGACTCAGTAGTCAGTTTGGACTCAGTGGCGTAGTCAACAACAAAACAAACGAAACAAAAAACATCGCCTCCTGAAATTAGAAATATTTATTTAGGGCCCTCCCAAGAGACCTGTTCTTTTAAAGTCTCGCTGGCCCTCCCAAAAAAAAACATTTGCGCTCTGGAATCTGGAATCTCCGAATCTGGCACCTGGCATCTGATTTTTGTTGCGATAAATTACAAAAATAAATATTCTCTGCGAGTTCCTGACTTCCTGATGGCACAAATTGATTTGAACGTCGCATCAATCATTCAATCTCTAATATTCAGCTCTCGCTCGCTCTCTCGAGAGAGTGAGCAGAGTAGGGAGCAGTTGTGAAAAGGTGAGATTATAGATTTACTACATTAACCTCTATCAACAGATTGGATACTACAGAGATGGTGTAGTCCAACATCGAATTATCAATCGGCATTCTTTAATAGGAAGCAGGCTGAAGCTGCCCACTAGTTCAGTTTTCTTGTTTGTATGCCCAGAAGCGCGCTCGGAAATCGTCACTGCATGAGAAGAATCCGGGCGAGTTTGGTGATGAAGCTAAGCACCTGATGGGACCTTGGTGACCTGGAAACAAGCAATATGGAGCTATGTATTGAATCAAACCCGAGTAGTTTCTAAACAACAAATGTTATCATGTATTAAATCGAACTTGAGTACAAGCACTGCGCGTATGACTGAATATTCGACTAAGTGACACCTAAACCCTATCAGATCGTATACGGCACTGTTTTCAGACATGATTGTCCAACTATAGATGCAAACGTGTATGTACAAACATATACAGGATCAGTTTGTACAGCTCGAGGACAACCAGGTCAAAGCGGATTATATAATCAATCTTACATACAGCAATTTGAATAAGGTCAAAGGTATGCGCCACTTAATGGAAATAGCACTTACGCCTCGAGATTATCATCACCTTGAATTTGCACACTCGCGTCTTTTGTCTTCTATCGCTACCGGTAGTGTAGGATGCCAACCATCAAGGGCACTGTGACCCTATCAGACTACGTTGAAAATACCATGGTAGGTATGCAGTCTGACATGCAGTCTGATACGACCGTACTACACATACTGTCTGCTAGGTGCATATGGGTCAGTCTCCCATTCTGTAGTGAGTAGCTGTATTTATACCAGCCGGCATTGCACATTCATGAGGCATGCTGTACATTCCAACATACCCACAAAGTATTTCAATCGTTCTCCCGTCCTCGAGTTCCATAGGACAACCGAATTGTTCTTATCATCCCCCGTCATTACAAAGTCCTGTAAGCAGAATCGAAACATTCACGAGGTGTTCAGCAAGGGACGCTGTCGAAACATATACCGATAAACATCCATTTGGGCGCAAATGACCTATTGGGCAGTAGTAGTACGTGCCTGTTTTTTATTCGTAACTAGGACTGCTACGACGCATGCGGTAAAACTGTCTCATAAGATGAGATCAAAACAACACCACCCTCCAACTTCCGACTGTCAATTCAACCCAAATAGCCGTTTCATCAGATCACAACACAAGTAGGGATCTACGAATAACACCATACAACTGACCCTATTTATAAAGCACATGTGACCACCAGTCAGAATTCATGTGAATGCAGAATCTAAGCAGGTACGTGAAGACCTTATGAGCCACAATAGCAAGTGGAAGCAGCCCAGATCACTCGACTTAAACATATCAATTACACACCTCAGCCGGCCCAAAGACTGCCGCTGACGAGTAGTTTCTTAGCCCGACCTCTCCGTACTGGAATATCTCTCGTCCTGGTGGAGAAAATGTTCGTGCTTGGTTAGCGAAATGACTAGCACCGATGGAATAGCTGAATTGTGTATACTTTTAGATATAGCAATATTAATATATACCCACATAAGAATTCTGTCCCCGAACTACTCAACTTTATATATATATATATATATATATAAACATATACACATACTATTTATACATACATACATACATACATACATACATACATACATACAGACATACATGCATACATACATACATACATACATACGTACGTACGTACGTACACACATACACACACACTCACACACACATACATACATACATACATACATAAATACATACATACATACATACATACATACATACATACGTATGTACGTACACACACACACACACACACACACACACAACAAAACACACATTANATATACCTATACTATTATTAATATATTAATATATATA